CATTCACTTCTTCGTAGCTAGGAAGTCTTTCTCAAACCTTGATTGTACTCTGTTCCCCTCCTGCCCCCCTCCCCCCCCCCCACACACACACATACGCACCGGTCTGTTTGGTGCAGTGCTCCGATGATAAAGTCTGCAGTCTTTAAGTGGACATCCATGGCCTTATCCCATTCCTTCCACTTGTTACCCCATTCCGCTTTGACCTAAACATTCCACGTTTTCATCTGCCAACCTTTCTTTATGCTGTCCTGTCTCTGCTGCTTAATTCATATATTTGTTTCTCTTTGTCAGGGATAGATCAAGATTTTGTGGGTCCTGTTGCTTAATCCTTTGGGGGCTTGCTTTTTTTTTAATTTATTTTTTTACAGATATTTTACCTTTTTTTTACCCCATTGGCACTACCCTCCCCACCCCACCTCCGCCCCGTCCCCGGCTTAGTTGTCCATGTCCATTGGTCATGCATACATGCATATAAGTTCTGTGGTTTATCTCTTCCCACCCCCCCACCCCCTCTTCTAAGGGATGTCAGTCTGTGCCCTACTTCCATGTTTCTGCGTCTACCGTATTCCTCAGACTGTTATGTTCATTATATTCCTTATATAAGTGAGATCATGTGGTATTTGTCTTTTTCTGCTTGGCTTATTTCACTTAGGATAATACTTTCCAGGTCCCTCCATGTAGTCTCAAAGGATAAGAGATCTTTCTTTCTTACCACTGCGTAGTACTCCATTGTGTATATGTACCACAGCTTTTTGATCCATTCGTCTACTGATGGGCACTTGGGCTGTTTCCAGATCTTAGCAATTGTAAATAGTGCTGCTACAAAGATGGGGGTACATATATTCTTTCTTATTGGTGTTTTATGCTTCTTAGGGTATATTCCTAGAAGTGGGATCACTGGGTCAAATGGCAATTCAATTTTTAATTTTTTGAGGTGACACCATATTGTTTTCCATAGTGGCTGCACCAGTCTGCATTCCCACCAGCAGTGTACTAGAGTCCCCTTTTCTCCACACCCTCGCCAACACTTGTTGTTTGATAATTTGTTGATGGCGGCCATTCTGACAGGTGTGAGGTGATACCTCATTGTTGTTTTAATTTGCATCTCTCTGATGATTAGTGATGTGGAGCATTTTTTCATATGTCTCTTGGCCATTTGTATGTCCTGTTTGGAGAGGTGTCTATTCAGCTCCTCTGCCCATTTTTTAATTGGGTTCTTTGTCTTCCTTTTGTTGAATTGTATGAACACTCTATATATATTGGAAGTTAACCCCTTATCTGATACATCATTGGCAATGATGTTCTCCCATACAGTGGGTTGCCTTTCCATTTTGATGATTGTTTCTTTAGCTGTGCAGAAGCTTTTTAGTTTGATGTAGTCCCATGTGTTCATTTTTTTCCTTTGTTTCTGTTGCCTTAGGTGATGTATCAGTGAAAATTCTGCTCCGTATGATGTCCAAAATTTTGTTGCCTACATTTTCTTCTAGAATTTTTATGGATTCACGGGTCACATTTAAGTATTTTATCCATTTTGAGTTTATTTTTGTGTATGGTGTAAGTTGATGGTCTTGTTTCATTTTTTTTTTTTTTATCCTCACCCGAGGATATTTTTCCATTTTTTGTACAGATAGACTGGAGGGAAAGAGAGGAAGGGAGAGAGAGAGAGAGAAACATCGACGTGAAGGGACACATCGAGTGGCTGCCACCCGCACGACCAACCAGGGCCGGGGACAAACCGCAACCGAAGTACGTGCCCTTAGCGGGAACTGAACCCGGGTCTCTCCGGACTGCAGGCTGACGCTCTAACCGCTGAGCCAAACTGGCCAGGGCTCTAGTTTCATTTTTTTGCATGTAGCTGTCCAATTTTCCCAACACCATTTATTAAAGAGGCTGTCTTTACTCCACTGTATGCTCTTGCCACCTTTGTCAAATATTAATTGAGCGTATTGCCTTGGGTCCATTTCTGGGTTTTCAGTTCTGTTCCACTGGTCTATCTGCTTGTTCTTGTGCCAGTACCAGGCTGTTTTGGTTACAGTCGCTTTGTAGTATAACCTGATATCTGGTATTGTGATCCCACCTACTTTGTCCTTCTTTTTCAAGATTGCTGTGGCTATTCGGGGTCTTTTTTGGTTCCATATGAACTTTTGAAGTATTTGTTCTAGTTCTATGAAATATGTCGTTGGTATTTTGATGGGGATTGCATTGAATCTATAGATTGCTTTGGGTAGTATGGACATTTTAATGATGTTAATTCTTCCAATCCATGAACAGGGTATATGCTTCCACTTTTTTATATCTTCCTCTATTTCTTTTTTCAATGACCTGTAGTTTTCTGCAAATAGGTCCTTTACTTCTTTGGTTAAGTTTATTCCTAGGTATCTTAATTTTTTTGGCGTGATGGTAAATGGGATTGTTTTTTCAGTTTCTCTTTCTGTGAGTTCATCATTGGTGTACAAGAATGCCATGGATTTCTTGACGTTAATTTTGTATCCTGCTACTTTGCCAAATTCATTTATTAAGTCTAGTAGATTTTTGATGGATTCTTTAGGGTTTTCTATGTATAATATGTCATATGCAAATAATGACAGTTTCACTTCCTCCTTTCCAATTTGGATCCCTTTTATTTTTTCTTCATGTCTGATTGCTGTGGCTAAGACTTCCAGTACAATGTTAAATAAGAGTGGCGAAAGTGGACATCCCTGTCTTGTTCCTGTTCTTAATGGAAATGTTTTTCGTTTCTGTCCATTGAGTATGATGTTGGCTGTAGGTCTTTCATATATGGCCTTTATTATGTCGAGATATGATCCCTCTATTCCCACATTGCTGAGCGTTTTTATCAGAAATGGATGCTGGATTTTGTCGAATGCTTTTTCAGCATCTATTGATATGATCATGTGGTTTTTATTCTTCATTTTGTTTATGTGGTGTATCACATTTATTGATTTGCGAATATTGTACCAGCCTTGCATCCCTGGAATGAATCCCACTTGGTCATGGTGAATAATTTTTCTGGATCTGATTTGCTAATATTTTGTTCAGGATTTTGGCGTCTATGTTCATTAGGGATATTGGCCTGTAGTTTTCTTTCTTCATAGTGTCTTTTTCTGGTTTTGGAATTAGAATTATGCTGGCCTCATAGAACGTGTTTGGAAGTCTTCCTTCTTCTTGAATTTTTAAAAATAGTTTGAGGAGAATGGGTGTTAGTTCATTTATGAATGTTCGGTAAAACTCCCCCGTGAAGCCATCTGGGCCTGGGCTTTTGTTTGCTGGGAGAGTCTTGATTACCTCTTTAATTTCCTTAGTTGTTATTGGTCTGTTCAAGTTTTCTCTCTCTTCCGGGTCCAATTTTGGGAGACTGTGTGTTTCTAGAAATTTGTCCATTTCGCTTTGATTGTCGAATTTGTTGCCATATAGTTGTTCATAGTAGTTGTTAACGATCTTTTGTATTTCCGTGGTGTTGGTTGTTACTTCTCCTCTTTCATTTCTGATTTTGTGTATTTGGGTTCTCTCTCTTTGTTTCTTGGTGAGTCTAGCTAAGGGTCCATCAATCTTGTTTATCTTTTCGAAAAACCAGCTCTTTGTTTCATTGATCCTTTGAATTGTTTTTTGGTCTCTATGTCATTTATTTCTGCTCTGATCTTTACTATTTCCTTCCTTCTACTTGCTCTGGGGTTTTCTTTTTGTTTGCTTTCTAATTCTTTAAGTTGTGAGGTTAGACAGTCAATTAGAAATTTTTCTTGTTTTTTGAGGTAGGCCTGTAGTGCCATGAACTTCCCTCTCAGAACTGCTTTCGCTGCATCCTATAGATTTTGTGTTGTTGTGTGTTCATTTTCATTGGTTTCCAGGAAGTTTTTAATTTCTTCTTTGATCTCCTTGGTGACCCATTCATTGTTCAATAACATGCTATTTAGCCTCCATGTGTTGAAATGTCTTTGCATGTTCTTGTTGCAATTGATTTCTAGTTTCATGCCATTGTGATCTGAGAAGATGCTTGATATGATTTCAGTCTTCTTGAACTTGTAGAGATTTAGTTCGTGTCCTATCATGTGGTCTATCTTTGAGAATGTCCCATGTGCACTTGAGAAGAATGTGTATTCTGTAGTTTTGGGGTGTAATTCTCTGTAGATATCTATTAAATCCATTTGGTCTAGTGCTTCATTTAGAGTCTCTGTTTCCTTGCTAATTTTTTGCCTAGAGGATCTATCCAGTGCTGTCAACGGGGTGTTGAAGTCCTTTTGGAGCTTTCTTAAGAAAAATAACACAAAATTAAAAATACTAAATTAGGGACAGAGCATCGGAAAGGGCCCCAACAAATGAGCAGCCCTGATCCTTAAACTGTGTCAGCTTCACATACATCAGCCTCAGCCCTTCTGTCTTGCCTATGTTTTAGCCAAAAAGTATGCAGAGGAGCCAAAGATTTCTCCATGGAGCCCTCTATTGACCCCAGGAAAGACTAACACCTCCCATCAGTTAGCTGAAGGCAAGATCTTGTCTTATACTACTTCATGGTCTCATAGAGTCTTATACTCTGAATTTATTGATTACTGAAGAAATATTACTTCTGAATTAAATTATCACAAAGATAATCACATACAGTCAAGAAGTTTCTTATATGTTATTTTTTTTTTAATAGTTATCAAAATGCTAAACCGCTATTAGCCCAGGGCAAGTTTCTGTTATGTATCATATAAGATTACATGAATGCAATTTCTTTGTGGACTAGTGTGTGTTCTGTGGTTGTATATGTTCTGACCTTATTTTTAGAAGTCAGCTTTTATAACAAGTACGTATGATCTTTTTGTTGATATGTAGCAGACATGAGATTTATTATTTTAAGCAAACGTTTTTACAAAGTGTGAAACGGTTCCAGAGCTGGGCTATTATAGTACTCAGAGAAATCCTGTGCTGAGATTCATTTATTTTGGCTGTCATTGTTCTTGAGAGTCTGTATCGGTGAGAGACCGCTGTGTGTTCTCTGTGTGTCTGCTCTCCTGCTGCAGGACTCACCCAGGAAGGCCTGTTCAGGGTGAATGGCAACATGAAGGTGGTGGAACGACTCCGGCTGCAGTTCGAGAGCGGAGTGCCCGTGGAGCTGGGGACAGAAGGCGACGTGTGCGCAGCCGCCAGTCTGCTGAAGCTCTTCCTCCGGGAGCTGCCCGACGGCGTGATCCCCTCGGCCCTGCGTCCCCGCTTCGTCCGGCTCTTCCAGGGTCAGTGCGCTACGTCCTGGCGCGAATTAAACACATTTATTTTTCAGTTAAAATGAAACTTTCAATTAGCAGATATTTTTATTTGAGATTTTTAAACTGGCAATAGTAAAATGAACTCTTAAATATTTGTGATCTCTCCATAACCACCATCTTGCTGTTTTATCTAGGCCCTCGTGGGCTACCCTAAAATAATACCAAACTGATGATAAATACCATTATTAAATGGGATTTCTAAGACCATTGGTACATAACTACTTCAGTAACATAATATTGAGAAGCCCTTATGCTTTGGGGCCGAAGGAATACTTTTCTGACTAATGACTGCCATAGGAGTGAGAATAAGACGTTAAATTCTATGTAGGAAATTTAAGTAAATTGTGTTTGGTTAGTGGCCTTTGAAACTGAAAGTCACTGATGTGCTTTCTTTTTCTCATAAGAAAGTTGAGTCCTAAATTAATTGTATTTATTTTGTGAGGTAAAATTGTTTTGTGATTGAAGTATGAAGTGATTTTAAATGAAGAAACTTTTTTTTTTTTTATCCTCACCCGAGGATGTTTTTATTGATTTTGAGAGAGAGAGAGAGAGAGACATCAATTGGCTTCCTCCTTTACCCGCTCTGATCAGCAATGAAACCTGAAACCTAGGTATGTGCCCTGACCAGGAATTGAACCCGCAACCTTTTGGTGTACGAGATGATGCTTCAACCAACTGAGCCACCTGGCCGGGGCAAGAAATCTCATTTTTAAATGTAATAATTATAGACCTAACCATTATTGAGTTCTACCTCCGAAATATAGTAAGAAGAATGATTTAACTTGGAAAACCATTTTTTTTTATATTTTTGCCAAGTTAGAGTGAGAAGGGGAAAATGTGTTTATAAGAGTGTTAGTTTCCAAATTAAGAGCATGTTACTCAAAGCCACATTCCTACAGAGTAGTGGTATAACTATTCACATGCAGGATACTAAAGAATAAGTAAGTGTGAGGCCATGTTGTATTCTACTGAAAAATAGTGGTAATACATGAAGGCAGAAGTTGTCGAACCGTTGGTCTATCTGGTAGTTATAGTGCTTCTTAGCTTTCTATATCAGTAAGTGACATTTGCTAAGTGACACATGTTTGAGGCTTGTTCATTGGAAACTGAACTTTTTCATGTTCACATATATAAGCAGTTCAAGAAAGTAACCATTGTTCCTATTTAAGTGATTCTTACAGGGCATATTTTATCCATGTCATCAGGATGTAAAGCTTTAAGATACATTTTTGAAAATTATTTTAAAATAATTGATACAAAAACCAGTTGAAGATTTAAAAACTATGTGCCTTATACAAACTATTTAGTAATAAAATATTTAGTATTACTAAGAATCTTTATTAATATTAGTATCATAATATTTAGATATTAGTACTAACATTTGTGAATACTTGTGAATTTTAAAAGCTTTTTTTCATGATTCCTAGAATAGCATTTATTTGCTATTATAGAGTGTACTGATTTATTATTCTTGTTAATATTAAATCACACTAATTTATTTTATAATTAAGACCTTTGTAAATCATCTTCTTATTCATGACATGTTTCCTTGGTGGCCAGAAAGTTAATGTGCATCATAAAAAGCAGTATCATTCTAGAAGCAAGACTGGTTTAATATAGCAGTCTCTCGGGGTGTATAATTTTGCACAAATCAATTCTGAATGGGGCAGAGAAACTAATGTTTGATTTTATTAGTATTCTCTCATTCCTTGAAAACCTCTGGGGCTAGATCTGAGATGTTTCATAAAGAAAGTATTAATGAAATACCTACTAGTTATGTAAACTGCTAAGTAGAGGGAATGAGGTGTCAGACTGTATGAACTCTGTAAAATAAACTTTAATAATTCTGGTAGAAAATAAAGTTCCCGCCCTGGCCGGTTTGGCTCAGCGGTTAGAGCATCCACCTGCGGTCCGGAGAGACCCGGGTTCGGTTCCCGCTAAGGGCATGTACCTCGGTTGCAGTTTGTCCCCGGCCCTGGTTGGTCGTGCGGGTGGCAGCCACTCGATGTGTCCCTTCACATCGATGTTTCCCTCTCTCTCGTCCTCTCTCTCCCTCCCACTCTATCTGTACAAAAAAATGGAAAAATGTCCTCGGGTGAGGATAAAAAAATAAAAATAAAAAAAAATAAAGTTCCCCTTCCTGTTGAGGGTACATGGTGCAGCTGGTCACTCTGACACCTGAGGTGTCAGTGCCCTTTACAGACCCACTGTGAGCGGAGATGGTGCCCTCACCACCCTTTGCTACTGCACGTCGATATTTAGTGAAATGTTTCCATAGGATTTCCTTAACAAAGACTACCCGGCTTTCATAGTTCAGTCCTCATAGTAATAGGTTAGTTTTCCTGATATTCTGTCACAACTCAGTACCAGATATCTTTCCTTTTTTTTTTTTTTTAATGTTATGAGCCTTTTAATTGTATCTGGTGCAAAGAGTAAGCTGTCCCACCTGGCTTGTGTGGCTCAGTGGATTGAGCTTTGTCCCGTGGACTGAAAGGTCCCAGTTCGATTCCTGGTCAGGGCACATGCCCAGGTTGCTGACTCGATCCCCACTGGGGGGCGTGCAGGAGGCAGCCGAGCGATGTTTCTTTCTCACATCCATGTGTCTCTCTCTCTTTCCCTTCCTCTATCTCTAGGAAAATCAATTAAAACATATTTTTAAAAAAGAGCAAGCTATCTCATAATTGAATATACTTACAATTTTTAGATCAAGATCCTATCTTCTCTGCTTAAGAGGATGGATTCTGGAGCCTCAAAAAAAAAGTTTTTTTCAGATATTTAAGCTAAACCAAAACTGCCAATGAAGACAGTCTGAGTGCTGCCTGGAGCAGTCCTGCTGTCGCAGACCAGCCTTTGAGTGGGTAGACCAGCAAGGGCCCTCTGTGTGGAAAAGCATCATTTAGATGTTCATTCCTATAATGAATTATCAGTTTTAGATCGTCTGGTATCTGAATCTCCGAGATGGTTATTAGTTTTTAGTTAGCATACCAATAGATCTGCATACTAGGTAATTATCGAAAACTAAAGGTGATTTCTGTAAGAGCGTTTTGCTTCTGGCAAAGGCCTGGTGTAGACTATTCATATTTAAGAGATCATCTTTTCCTGTTTTCACATCAGCCTTACCTCTGATTGCAACATCTCACCTTCCTTAATTGAGATTTTTAATATAATCATCTCAGTTTGGCTATATTCCATGCCTTTGACCTTTAATCCTTATCTTGGCGGGCCCGTAATGTATGTTTTCTGTTGTAACAGTCTCAGGTATGTTTTGGGAATAGAAAGCAATTTCAAGCAATAAAAAGATTTTAGGATAGGATTGATTTAATTTAGGATTAACTAAAAATCCCTTTACGTGAATGTTCCCTATTGAAAAGTCTCCTATAATATAAATGTAAATATTTCTATCCCATAATTGAGTATGAAAGGCCACCCTGGCAAAGGGCATTTGTCAGACTGTTGTAAATGGACACAAATCAGAAAGGAAGTTTTGAGAGGAGGCTGGCTTAGGGTGAACTGAAACATACTCTGCTTTGATAAGCCTGAGGCTACTATTATTCTTTTGTTTTCAGTAGTTCAAATCTTTTCTATCTGTACTTAGGGTAGGGCCTTCACATTTTAAAACATCTCAGCCTGTCAGACCTGATCTTTTGTCCTGAAAGGAAGAAGCAATCTTCAACTTTCTAGGAACCTTCTGTAGCTGGCTGATGCTCCTTCCCTACGATCAGGTGAATTTGGGATTTGGCCCAAAGACTCAGGTGCCGTTAGCTCGGTAGGATCGGATGTGTGCTCTATGTGGAGCGTTGGTAAATTGTTTATCTCAGAGATCTGGCTGTTGTTATTAAAGAAAGAAGAGAGAGCCTGACGTGGCATCTAGACAAAAATAATGGAAATGAAGAATGAAGTTTATTCTGGGACCATGATGAGTAAAATAAATGTCAGTGCTTAGGAGAAGGGGCTTAAGGCTGAAGATTTCATGAATTTCATAGTTATGTTATCTATGAAGACTCTTCAGTCTTCATACTTAGCATTCTGAACATCACTTCTGTTTGGACAATAAAGAGATGACAGTACGCTGATTTTATATACCTGTCTTCAGGATTTAAGTCCCTATTCTGTGCCAAGATTTTGCCTGGATGTTTATATGTATGTCTGGCTTCTAAACCCATTACAGCTACTCCTACAAATACAGTTATACTTGAACAGTGCAGGGTTTAGGGCGCCAACCTCCCTGCACAATTGGAAATCCACATATAGGTTTGTTTGTTCATTTATTGATTGATTTTAGAAAGAGGAAGGGAGAGAGAGAAACGTGGATTTGTTGTTCCACTTATTGATGCATTCATTGGTTGCTTTCTGTCTGTGCCCTGACCAGGAATCTAACCCACAACCTTGGGGTATCGGGAGGACACACTTGGGCTTCAGATATAGGGTTTGACTTCCCCAAAACTTAATGACTAATAGCCTACTGTTGACCGGAAGCCTTACCAATAACATAAACAGTCAATTAATACATATATTGTATTTATATGTATTATTTTATTGTATTCTTGCAATGAAGATAGCAAGATAAAAGGAAATGTTATTAAGAAAATCATAAGGAAAAGAAAATACACTTACAGCGTTTACTGGAAAAAAATGTATATAAGGGACCCACGCAGTTCAAACCCATGTTGTTCAAGGGTCAACTGTATTTCAGTGAATAAGGAAAAGGAAGCTCAGTGAGGGTAAGTTACTTACCATACAGCAAATTGGGAACTGCCTCACTCCAAAGCCCGTGCTTTTCCCATTATATTTTGTGTATTAATCTGCTTGGGCTGCCATAACTGAATGCCACAGACTGGGAGGTGAGCGGTTGGGGGGATTAAACAAGAGACGTTTATTTCCTCACAGTTCTGGAGGCTGCAAGTCCAAGATCAAGGTGCTGGCAGGGGTGGTTTCGTAGACCACCCCTTGACTTGCAGACAGTGCCT